CTCTTCTTTTTAAAATCTGTATCTGCACTAGAGTTATTAATCATATCTCTCATTATGGTTGCCATCTCTGTTATCTTAGGAATTATTTTTGATTTAATTTTTTCCAGAGCCTTTTTCATCTGTTTTGTTACCTCCCTTGTTACCAGTTCAGGGAGCCCAGGTGGTTGACTTTTGGATTGTTCCATCTTCTTGTTCCCTAGATTTGCCTTTGGTGATCTGGAAGTCTGGGTTTGCATCTTGTTTAGGTATCTTCTCATTTCTATCTTTTTGGTTGTTGATTTTGTTTTTGATTTCCTGGGTTGATGCTTGCATTTTACTTATTGCAAGTATCTTTATTGCTTGCATTTAGAACCCTTAGGGAATAGCTACTTCTTAGATTGCCTTTTAGGTATAGCTGGCCTTTGGGTTTTGAGTCTGTAATGGCCCTTAGGCAATCTCAGTCTTGGTATATCAGGAAGGATGAATGACTAGAACAATCATGTCACCTTGTTAAAGTAGTGCAATCAGCATCAACAATAGCATCAAACACAGCCTAGAGACTGATAAACTGTGATAACTTTTAATCTGCCAACTTCCACCCCATGAACTAGACTTGTAGTTATATATCAAAATCTAGAACCAACCAGAGATATGTTTGCAGTAAATAAACCCTTCAATATAGCAAATTTGCCCTCTGGGGAGAAACTTAGAAGGAGTTAGGGGGTGAATAGAGAAATGGAGAGGGAAAGATTAGAAGTAAGGTTAGAGGACACAGGTAGATCATGCAAACTTTGTGAAACTGGTGAGGACAGGAGGAAAAGAGAGAAAGAAGGAACAACAACAAAAAAATAGAACAAACATAGCAAAAGAGAAACTTGAAAGTGTATTCACATTCCTATAAAAACAAGAATGATTGAGAAAACCCAAGACAGGACAAAAGCAGGAACAAGAAAAGTGAGAAAAGAAGAAGAAGGAAAAGGAGAAGGAGAAGAAGAAGGAGAAGAAGACCAAAAAAGAAAAGAAAAAAGTGTTCCTTTCAAGGCGTCTCTATTGTCACCTGTGGACAACATGGAGAGTGTACAGATCTGTGTCAATTGATCTCTGCTACCCGGCCATAGTGTACTGAAATTCAAGCTGGTTTCTGGCTGTGAGGCTGGAATTGAGCTCTCTGACCCTCCTTCAGGTTTGAACTCTGCATAGTTTTAACTGCACATTGGAGCTGCCCTTCCCCCACAGCAAGTCTGGGTTCAAGTAGGAGATGCTGACCCCAACAACACACCAGTCACTGCTGTCCATTGCATCTTTATTGGAGTCTCTCTTTTACTCTCTCAGTGGGCTTCAATTCTCAACAAGCCTTGGAGAGGCCCTCTCTCTGCTGCTTACCACTGTGCCATCTTCCTGAGCTCAGAACAATGGCCTTTCTTCTCTCTGTCACCAAGGTCTGGATCCTAGGGGTGGTGGGCTCCTTGGGGCAAGGGTCAGGCCACATCATGCTGCTCTCCTCCTCCAAGCCTTTGTTTTGGAGACAGGGTCTCACTCTCTAGTCCAGGCTGTCTTTGAATTTACTATATAGCCCAAGCTGGCCTCAGAGGTGATCCTCCTGCCTTAGCCTCAGGAGTGCTGGGACTAGAGTTGTGTGCCATCACTCCCAGGAATTATAACCCTATTTAGTGTGTTTTAGAGTGGGCCATTTTGTATTGTTAATTCAGAAGTGCTAAAGATGGACTACTACAAGCAAAATAAAATTATTTAAAGGACTGCATTTAAATCTTAAAATGATGATCTATGAAGTATATTGTTTTACAATATTTACAGAGATTTAAATCCATGCCTTTAATGGCAGGTGGTTAGATAGCCATCTAAGTAGTAAAATCTTACAGTGATCAAACATGAGACAAGAAGTTTAGGGGAGTCAGTAGTCTGTTTTCTAATGGTTCTTGATTTCCTCTTAGGAGATGCTAGGCAAAATATGGGATCAAAAACATAGCTCCAGAATAAAAATGACCTGTTGTAGTGGCACTCATATATGCTGTGATTAAATTCTCAGTGAAGGAAGGGGTAAAAAAAGATATCCATAAAATTGTTTTTCTTAACATTCACATGCACACCTCAATTTTCAAAATTATTTTTATAATGCTCTTGGCATCTTTAAAAACATATACAAACAATGTGAAGTTTACAATGTCTTCCAAAAAACTGGAATATCTTGGATTGGAGTTTGATACTGTGAGACACATTGAGGATTTTTTTTACCTCAGCTAGTTTAGGAGAACAAACAAATAAGAGAAATAAAGATTCTTGCTAAACATTATAAAACATCTAAGGTCCTGTTCCAAGATTGTGCCACTGCAACACTCCAATCCAACAGACTTCCCTTTTTACTTTTATGCTGCAATTTGAGAAGGTTTTTAAGTTATTCTCATTCTTATAAAACATAAAGCATTTTTACCCTACTTCCCTAATCCTCCAATCTGATTTATACATTTAAAATTTTTTTATATATTGTAGGCTTCTATTTAACTTTCCATGAATTTAAATTATTATATATACCTTCACAAAATTTATTTTGAACATACCTGGTGCTTCACCACAGAAAAATTTAGCTATAATTTTATTTAGAATAGCCATCTTTTCCTCTACATGTGAAGATTTCTTACATTAAGCAAGAAGAGCATAGCATAAATCCCATTATCTCACATTTTCTGTGTGCATTGGGGTGTAAATGAAAATATGCTTCTTTAAGACCTCAAAAATGAAGTCATTATGGGAAAAAAATCCAAAAACTGAAATAATCCTAATATTAGCTAATGATTATACATTCCCACACTGGTATTTCTTTGCATGTAGAATTGCAAATTTTGAAAAACGGAAGGACACAATTATAGAAAAAAAGCTACCTTAACTATTTTTAACCCCAAATAAAATTAGTAAAAATTAAAAAAAAATAAACCTGAGATTCCTCAGGCATCCAAACATAATACATATGTAGTCAACATTTTCAAAGAATCTCAGCACTGTACATATTTTTAGAGACTGGAGCAGGGGTATACTGATAGCTCAGACCAGAAGCAAATTCTACTTGTGGACAAAATATGTGCCATTAGTCAAATTATTGGTTAGAGTACTTCATATATTGGTAGATTTTTACTATAATAAGAATGGAAACCAAAAATGGGTTGCAGGATTACATTTAATTTTTTATATTCCACACATGCTTAACAAATCTGTTTTTTTTGCTTCAATATCACAAGGGTATCAAAGTTTTTGAAGCCACAATCTCATTTCTCTCTGCTAGGGCTAGAATTAATAGCTAGTCTTTTGAAGAAGTTGTAAAGCAGTTTTAAGAGGGAAATTTATAGCATTTATTATCTATATTAAAAATAAAAGGGGCCGAGGTTTTAGCTCAGTGGTGCTGTGCCTGTCTCACAAGTGAAAAGTCCTAAATTCAACCCCTTGTACTAAAAAAAAAAAAAAAAAAGAATAAAAAATTTTTCATATAACCTAGCTTCACACATCAAGAAAGTAGAAAAGAAGAACAAACTAAGCTCAAAGTCAGCAGAAAGAATTAAAAATAAAGATTGGAGCAGAAATAAAAGAAACAGATACTAGAAAAACAATAGAAAAGATCAATGAAATTAAGAGTAGGATTTTTGAAAAGACAAAAATCAATAAACCTTTAACTAGAATAAGATAAAAAGAGAGAATTTTCAAATAAATAAAATAAGAAATAGAAGAAGAAACATAACAACTGATACCACAGAAATTCAAATGATCACAGGAAAGTCCTCTTAGTGATTATATGCCAACAATTTGTTAACCTAGAAGAAAGAGATAAATTCCTGGAACAAAAATCTACCAAGAAAGAATCATGACACAGCAGAAAATCTAAACAGACTAATAATGAGAAAAAAGACTAAATCAGTAGTTAAATGTCTTTTTACACAGAGAGGATCAGGACTTGGTGATTTTACTTGTGAATTTTACCAAATATATGAAGAAGAATAAACACTAATCCTTCTCAAATTCCTCCAAAAGATTAAAGAGGAAGCAAACTGCCAAATACATTTTATAAGGTCAAAATAGCCCTACTACTAAAGACAGATAAGGACATAATAATAATAACAACAAATTATAGGCCAATGTCACTCACGAATTTTGATGCAAAAATGCTCAACAAAAATTACTATCCAACCAAATTCAACCATATACAGAAGAATCCTTTTTTATATGGTCAAGATTTATCCCAGAGATTAAAGGGTGGTTCAACACATGTGAATCATTAAATGTGAAATACCACAGAATACCATGATACACCATTAATAGTGACATAACACAATGAATGAAGGCAAAAGTTATAAAATCACTCAATAGATGCATAAAAAGCATTTAACAAAAATCCAACACATCACATGTTAAAATTCTCAACAAATTAGGGATAGAAAATATGGATGTCAATATAATAAAAGTAACATATGATAAACCCACAAATAACATTGTACTGAATGAAAAGTTAAAATTTTTCCCTCTGAGATAAAGAATAAAATGAATATGTCCCCACTTTCCATTGCTATCCTTAATAGTACTTATTGTACTATATTTTATCAAAATTGGAAAGAAGTTAAATTGCCACATTTACAGACAACATAAGTAATTTTACATAGAAAGTCTGTGTATCATAAACACACAATTTTTGTCAACTATACCTTAATAAAGCTGAGAAAAAACAAAGAGCTAGCTTTCAAAAAATGCAAGACTTTGCATCTCCTTTTTTGCTAGAAATAAGCTTGGCATCAACCACAGTACTAAGTAAAAGTCATATCTTTGTAATCAGATGTACCAAAAAATAAGTCTGCATAGAAATCAAATTTTACATGAAAAAACATTTGAAATGTAAATTTAAATCCACTATCAGTAAAGATGTCCGCTGTCCATAAAGTAAAGAAAGTTAATTTAGTTTTAAAAAGTGAAAAAACATTTGAAAACATTGATGTTATTGTAGGATGCATAAATAGAATACATACTGGGTTTAGAAGGACTGTAAGGAAAAGTTCACCTCCTTTGATACTTTTATCCAGTTCCTGGGGTCCTCCTGGGTACTCTTTGTAGAATATAGTATGGGTAAACAACCCACAGGTCTGTCGAGGGAGGACCTGATGAAAAAGGGAGGTAAGAACAACACATTGGCATGATTTAATTGAGAACTTCACTACTGTCTCATAAATTCAATGTCTGCAAATATGAATTCCTACTGGAGTTTCATGGATCTATGGCCTAAATCATAATGAAATGAGGAGTTGATGTTAGTATAATTCTGTAAATTATAAAGGAAATTTGTAAAAGGAAGTTACCAAACCATAGATATAAGAATTAAGACTAAGGAACTTTTACCCAGTTACATAAATCTAAACTATCATCTAATTTACATTAAAAATTTAATATAAAAAAACTTTGGGTTAACCTAATTCAAAAATAAAGAGCCTCCATGGTAACATTTTTCATTCCATTAGACCATTGCTTTCCTTCTGACATTGAGACTTGTGTTGTCTTCAGGTTCTGGGATTTGAAATAATCAATTTTCAACAGCCTTTCCACATTTTTTTGGTTTTTACTACACTCTGAATTCAAATTTTATCACAGTTATAGTCTAATCATCAAATGATTATTTCTGATATATTTTATGGTTAATTCTGTTATAAACTGGAATGCTTAACAGAGAAAACAAATGATTTGTTTCATTGTATAACTTATTTTGAAAAATAAACCACTTAAAATCTAATGGAAAAATGCATCCAATTGTCCAGAGTAGCTATAATTCTATTTATTTCTTCACTCAATTTTCATAATAGTTTATGTTAAATTCAAGGTAATAGAATGTATGTAATATAAAGGAATGTTTTCATTTCATAATATGTTGAATGGTCATACAACCTAATAAGGAAAAAATTGTGTACTGTCACTCTTACATTAAATTATGAATTAATTTTTTAATATCTCTCAGATTTCTTTGCACATTAGGGTCAATATTTGCACTACCAGTATCTTCATTTCAATTTTAGTTTTCTTTCCTTCCTCTGGAACCAATTTACAATAAAATAGTTAAAGTTTCATGGTAAATGAGTGTTAAGAACCAACTCTGAGTAGGCATGTGTACCTTTTCTTTCATTTTAGATAGGATTTTGATGGATAGACATGATTGGGAGACAAGATGGGGCAAAAGATAATTCTAGCAGCAATATGAGTAATGGATTGAAATAGGGTAAATATTTAAAAGTGGGAGAAATTTTGCAAACCTTTTTTCTGATTTTGACATCTAATGAAAAGAATATCATTTGAGGTACTGGAAAAGGGGATAGACATTTCAAGAGAGGCTATTTTGGATCAAAGTGAATGCTACCATTTTTTTATTCTAATGAATAATTGTAAATTCCCAACTGAATTCATTTGGTTTTATTATCATTTATAACAACCAATGTAACATTCTTAAATCAGATTATCATTTTTTTAATGAATATGTACCATCTTTCTTAGAGTACACAAGAAAAAGATAATGAAAAAGATCAGTACTGGACCAGGGATTTAGCTCAGTGATGCTGTCGCCTGCCCCCCAGGCACAAGGACCTGAGTTCCATCCCAGGTACCAAAAAAAAAAAAAAA